AGGAGGAACCGGCTGCTGAGGACGGAAACAGACGAAAAGAGACAATGGACTAGACCCCAGTCAACGTAGCAGCAGGGACAGAGGTCAGAGGTCAGAGGTCAGACGTGACCGGAGGTCTACGTGTGACAGTCTGTGGTTCTGTTGGTTAGGGTTAGGGTTAGAAATCCACTCACAATCTTCTCCTTGTCGATGTAAGACGGAAAGCTCTTGGTCAGGATGGCACTGTAGCGTAGAAGGACTTTGGCAATGGTCTGCAAGACGAGGACAACAAAAAAGAGGTTAAAGCTCAGTCTGCTGCAGATTAGAACTGAACTGAAATCACTTCATTATTATGACATTTTTACTATAATGTTTACATTGTTTTTATTTGACTTGGATTCATTTTATTTGTTTGAAAAGTGTTAAAGACCTAAAACACACACTGTGTGTTGACACCAGAGGGCGGTGTTGTTACCTTGGAGAAGCGGCGGCTGTACTGGGCCATGACCACGGGGTCTGGACACTCCAGCTTCTTGATGATCTCAAAGCTCTGGTTGAGCTGCGTGAAGATGTCCACCACGGAGCAGGAGAAGAGCGCGTGCTCCGAGGTCTGCTGGAACTGAGCAGAAGAAGAAGGAAAATCATCATCATCGTTTGATGTCAGTGAGACTGAGGTGAAGAAACACATCAGGGTTCAAAGGTCAGCTTCCTCACTCCGTCTTTTTTGTCCCTCTCCAGGGCACCGTGCATGAACTCCACAGACACGTCCTCGTTTTCAGCCAACCACTGCAGCACAAACTGCAGGAACCATCTGGTCGGACACACACACACACACACACACAGATCAGCAGGGTCAGAACGGGTCACGTCCAGATGTCCGACCGCCCCCCCTCCCCCCTCACGCCCACACTTACGACGGATAGTCTGGAACGACACCCTGGAAGTTGGGCAGCTCCTTCACGTACTCGTTGTACAACCACTTCACCTTGAAGTGCAGGTTCATGTAGTCGGTGCTTTTACACAGTCTGTGCTTCTCATGTTCTGCAGACACAAAACAACAACAACAAAACCTGAACTGAACTCACATCAACTACACCAACACAGTGGTGACGTCAGAATCTGGGACAAATGAACGTCAGAGGAGGTTGACTTGTACCTGGGAGCCATAAAGAAGGGCAAAGAAGTTCCCCAAAAAAAACCCAACAAAAATTCACTAACTAGTTCACTAACTAGTTCACTAACTAGTTCACTAACTAGTTCCCATGTGGAGTAGGTGGTGAGTTTTGACGCCGTACGTTGGAATGATGGAACGAGACCTTTTTAATAACTTTATGGCGGCGTGTGTTTCTAACTGAGCGGCCAAGGTGTCGAGGGAACAGACAAGACATTTACCTTCCATGGCGTACTTCATGTCTTGGGCAAACAACGTCCACATGACCTCCGCTGACACTTTCCCAACGCTGAGTTCTTGTGGAAACCTTAAAGAAAAGAAAAGAAAAAAACCAATCAGTGAACAGACAATCAACAATCAACACGACATCATCTGATGGACAGGAATATAAACGTATCACATCTGAATGATGATGACACTGATGACACATCAGTGACGTAATCTACTGGAACAAAAAGAATCAACTTAGGGTCGGCTCAAACCGTGACTCAGGATCAGTACTGGTCCAATATTGGTCAGAATTTCAGGATTGAACAATAAATAAAAAACTCCATCTTCACACAAATTTTAACTGAAGAAGCAGCTGTAGCTGTCGACAAGCGCCTGGAGTCACGTGACGCTCTGATCAACTCTGATCAACTCTGATCATCTTAGTTAAAAAACAACTTCAACAAAACTGCTTTGACAAAGACGGTCCAGTTCTGGGACCAAACCCACTGGTTGAGCACAGGTGTGTAAGAATTCCTGTCTTCTTCGATGATGGACACGATGAGCATGATGAGTTTGGGCCAGAAGTCCAGGTTCTTGATGCTCGGACCCTGTTCTTCCAGCGGCAGCTCTTCTTTATTCTGGATTAAAAAAAGAAAAATCTTAGTTTGACCCCAGAGACGTGACGTTGTCTTCAGAGGTGTGGACGTCTGTGGACGTCTGTCTCACCGTCTCTGCGGGCTGGTACTGTCTGTTGTACAGCTCGTGGCAGTTGTTGAAGATGTAGTCAAAGGTAGAGTTGAGACAGGCTTTGACACAGTCCCTCACCACCTGACTGGCCCTGGGTGGAGACTGCAGTTCCTGGACCTGACCACAAGGTGGAGGAGAAGCACCAGTGAGAAATGTTGTCATTTATGATTTCCTAAAACGATACAGAAACACATGATAAAGAAGTTTCATTCCAACCTTCATCCTGAAGAAGGTGATGCTGGTTAGAAGATCGACCGTCGATTTCAGATCCTGCAGACGATCTTTGCTGCTGGCAGGAAAGTGATTCTGCCAAAAAAAAAAAAACATTTAGACATCTGTTGTTTAAATCTGTAATCATCTGTTTCTTTATCAGCATTATATACCTGCAATATAATGTTATATAATGTTCTTATATACTGTATATTAAAATTTCTCTACCAGCATTACATACCTGCAAAATAATGTTCTTATGTACTGTATATTAAAAAATATACATATTTACACATATATGTATACAAATATATTTTTATATATATTCATCATTATTCTGTGTCACATAATGCAATAAAAAAGCAAAATAACCTAAAATAATTTCATGTTTTTAATTTAAAACCTTGTCCTTTTATCAGGTGAATAGTGAAAATATTCATGAATTACCACCAAAAGGGGGCGCAGTAGAGTTAGGGACACAACAGTGCAAAGACTTTTTTTCTTTATTTGTGCATCAGTGCAAAAACTTCACTAAATTTAAAACATTCAAAACAATTTCTGTGAATGTATTGATGCAGGGGACTCGACAATACTCCCATCTAACCAGTGGGGGCGCTGCAGAAAAAGTTTGGAAACCACTGAACTGATGTGTTGTTGTGAAAGGTTGTTTTCTTACCCTGTATGTCGACAGGTCAATGCGCAAGGAGTTGTGTAGCTGATCTAACAGTTTGACAAAACGTTCTTTCTGCACAGAAAAAAATAAAGACAAATATAGAATAAATGAATTAAATATAACTTCAGGTTAAATTTAATAAAAGGGCAGTTGTGTGTATTTATTAGCAGAAGATTTCAGATTTCAGATTTCATTATTAAATGAGTCTCTGCAGCGACACCAACCCCAAAGTTGGAGGCAGAAAAGCGGTCAGAGGCGGAGACGTTGGTGGAGGCGGTGGTGTGGGCGTAGAACGCGTTGATGTTGGCCAACAGGGTGCTCATCACGGCGGGAACTCCAGGACACATGTACTTTGACGACAGACAGGCGAAATGACTGGAGGGAGAAACGAAAAAAGGTGAGAAAAAACCAGCGTGGTCACATCCAGGCTGTGAGTCCAGACTCACGTCATGGCCTGGTAGATGGACTCGATGCCGTATCTCATGGCGAACTCGTCCACTGTTTCCTGCGCCACATCATCAAAATAGACTTTCCACGCGTCGTCTCCACGAGGGTCGGGGATCTTCACCACCCCTTGTCCCAGCACATCGTTGGAATGATGGAAAAGGTTCTGGAGGAGGAGGAAACGTTTCATTCATGTCACCTGACACTTGAACTGACAGAAACAAAAACTTTACGCCATCATCAGCGTAAACACACACCTCGTGTAAACATGTGTACTGCACGTGGTACGGCGCCACCTTCTCCTCCCCCTTGATCTCCACATTGATCTGGAGGCGAATGGCACCGGACACGGCCGACTTGTCCGTCCTCTTCTCTGTAATTAAACACACACACACACACACACACACACCCTCAGTCCACACTCACAGGTACACGTGCACTTTTCTGCGTTTGTGATTCACAGCAGTTCTTTAACGCAGCTGTAATTACACACAGGCAGCCGCGTTAACAGATACTGGAGAAGACGGCGGGGGGGGGCCAGTGGGGGGTGGGTGGGGGCTGAGCCTCGACACCACCAGGACTCTGGAGCAGCAGCTCGTCTGGAGGTGGAGCGCTCACTGCCGATTCACCAGTGACAGCCGCATCATTAGCGGTAATTCGTACATGTCGGCTGAGCGCTCGATTTCCGACCAGAGAGCCGCGGCTTGATAATCACACATCAGGAGGACAGGAGGAGAGAGAGGAAGGAAGGGGGAGGAAAAGGGGAGGAAAGGGGAGGAGGCTTGGAAGAAAGAGAAGACAGAGGAGGAAATGTAGCACGAAATGTTCAAGTATAAAATGTGACGATGATTATTTCTGTTTTCTTCTGTAAGTCTCCAATAAAATGAAATATTGTTCAGAGTGAAACGTCCAGGATATGACAACACATCAAAACCTCATTATTATTATTCACTGCATGACTTTAATAACTCAGTAATAACTACAGGAATAATGTATGTAATAATGTATGAAGTGACGTATCTGAAGTAAAAAACTGAACAGACAAACGGGAAAACAAGAATGTTTAGTTTCCTTTCTGTCTCCCATCCATCCATCCATCCATCCACCAATCCATCCATCATCCATCCACCCATCCATCCATCCTTCCATCCATCCATCCATCCATCCACTGACCCAGGTTGTACCAGACGTCCATTTCACCGCTCAGCGTTCGAACTTCGATGATGCTCTGGCCGAGGAAATCGTCCGACTCTCTCTTCAGACGCTGCTTCACCCTGGACTTGATGTCGTCGTCTTCGTCCCACACGCGGACTTTAATACGGTCGGAAGAATTGTGGCACTCGCTGAGGGACAGAACATGAAACACTGAACTATAAAGGTGGAAAACTAGCCTTGTTCACAAGAGAAAAAAAAAAGTCAAAGCCAAAGAAGACAAACATCGACATGAAGACGTCGGCGACTTACAAGTGGAATTTCTCCTCCCACACAGGGTTGAGGTTTCCATAGATGGTCTTGGTCCGTTTCTTGGTCTTTCCCACCTGGACGGTGACGTAGGGGTCACTGGAACCTGTCTTGTCCTTCGCTTGAAGACCTTGGGCACAAACGACTGATGCCATGGAAATAAAAACAAGACACGAGAAAGACTGAGGAGTGACTCCTTCAAAAAGTTCTCAGACAGATGGTACTATGTCTGCAGGTGTTTTCGTTCTACAAGGTGTTTCGACAAGTTTTTATCGCTCTACCATCTAAGGTGTTTCGACAAGTTTGTATCGCTCTACCTTGTCTGGTTTTTTCACACTCAAGTCTTCATCGACAGTAAACATCTACAGTGAAAGAAGGTTTCCTTCAAACCCACGTCTTTACCTGTGATGGTGATCTTGGCCGACCACTTGGAGGTGCCGTCCAGGACGCTCTGTTTGATGGTCTTCATCTGCTGAGCGTGGATAGCTTTACTGATGACAAAGACTTCCCTGATCAGTTCAAAGATCTCTGGTTTGTTCCTCTCTCTGATCTTCATCCTGTCCTTCATGGCCATGATGATGTTCTGGGTCTTGTCTTCCGCTCCGTGTTTAGAACTCTTCTCAGCCGCACCTGAACGTTGGACACAGTTAGGTTTCAGTCGGTTTGAACTGAGCTCCGTGACGACAGGAGGAGACGGCACTCACGCTGGAGACAGTCGGCGTTCAGCAGCTCCTGGCACTTCTCGTGACACTTGACGCCACACTCGGAGCAGCGCATGCCCTGCCGGGCGATTCCCCACAGCAGCCCTTCACACTCGTAGCAGTATGTTGGCGTAGTGGCGGTCCACACCTCAAAGTTGTGTGGTGTGGTGCATGATATGGGGTAGATGAGCGCCTGGAGGGTCTTCTTATACACATGGTGTTTCTGTGAGAGGAAAAAAAAAAACACACAACGATCTTCACACTTCACACACATATCTATCCGATATCTTTCCTCTGGTTTGCCGTGGGCTGCTGTTGCCGAGGCGATAGTGTCCCTGTTTACGGCATGTCGTGAAAAGTTACGTTGAGCGTTTGGGCTTAGGGATCAGACCGGATGGACGGTATCCCCCTATGACTATGTCCCCGACAGATTATTGGGCTTGTTTTAAAGAGTCGCCTAATGCGTTAATAAATGTCATCATCGTCATTTAGCTCCGATTCAACGCTCTCAGATGTCAGTACTTTTATGTGACTTATTGGGTTAAAGAAATGTGTTAAAACTTTTTTTTACACCAACAAAAATCTGCTTTTTTTCCTAAACTCATAATCTTTTTGGTAGAAGAGTCGGACACTCACCAGCTCCTCGTCCTTGATGGAGGACCGTGCAGCCATGGAAGAAGCGATTCCAGCCTTCCTCGCTTGAACAAGGGACTGAGCAGCAGGGAAAAATTGGACAACATTAGGTCGAATCTCCAAAACCGGCACAGTCCCAGTATCAAGCTGTGACTTCCAAGGTGTGAGTGTGGTTAAAGGTTAAGGGTTAAAGGTCGGTTGTCTGGGTGGTGAGTTGGGTTAATACACACACAAAGCTGAAGCTGATTTTGCCAAAATAATGAGTAAAAGTCACTAGTCTATAGTGGAAAGTAAAACAGTATTAATGACAGAACTAAAAGTATCTGCAACAAATGGGGTTAGTAGTAAATTCACCCGTGGATTTTAGAGATCCTTAAAGCAGAGCAGGTAAAATAAAAACAAACTAAAAAGTGAGGGGAAGGATTTTTCAGGGTTGTGATTTTGTTTTAACAATATCAAGTGAGGACAGAAGCTTCCCATGACCAAGAGGACGCATGCAGCTGTTTTCAGTCGAGCTAAAGAAGAGACCTTCATGCTACAGGCGTAGAAACTGGAGGCGACTACTGCTGAATTTGTCCTACTTGATATTTTTAGTGGAAGAGGAAGTGGCTGGAGCTCGATCTATAAACTTACCATGGCCTGACCAAGGAGAGGGAATGCATTCAAGAGAGTTGTTGGGGGGAATAGTTTCAGGTTTAAGAGAGGAAGGAGAGAGACATTAAAAAGACTGATTTTATATTTCTCTCCATTTCCTTTTGATGCTTTCACTTCAAACGTCTCACAGTATCTGTGACCCTTCTAGTAGGTTCACAACAAAGAAACATGAAAATGCCAAGACAGAACAGAACATTTGACAGACTAGTGTTAATCAGTACTGACCACGTCGCTGACCAATGGGATGGGCTTCTTTTTACGCAGGTCAGGCATGCTGTCAATTCCATACAGACCAGAACCACCGCTGTCAAGAAACAAAAATGTTGTCATCCAATCATGTCTAACATTATTATGGATTAGTTCTTCACAAAACCATCACACACAAAAAAAACACGGACACAGCGTCTTAGTGTTCGTGTGACGAGAATCTAGTCTACTGACTGCCCTGTGTCTTCTTGTGGTCTACACTAGTACCTCGACCAAAAGTGGCCTGAGGTGAGTGTTCAAAACGTGTAAATTAAATGTTGGCGACGCACTTACCCTGGTTTGACCCAGGCCTGCCGTAGGTTAGGGTCCTCATCTTGACCCTGGACAAATGTAAGAGATAAAGAATTAAAGTTGACGTTTAACTGTACGGTGTTTGATGTTGAACGTAAGACGAGGGAATGAAGACACGTTTGGTTGGGTTTCACCTCTTTGATGTTGGAGAACATGCAATGTTCAAATTTAAAAAGGTTATTTTTTTTAAACCCTGACTCAAACAAACATCAATGAAACCTTTAATTATAATGCAAATTAATGCAAATAATTTTTTTAAAAGGCAGACATTTCATGCATACATGTGTCAACAGAATGAGTAGGAAACATGTTTTTTGTTGCAAGAGAATTGTTTTAAAAATAAGACAGTGGAGAAGCTGAAGTGTCTCCACAAGGACGGGGTTTTGACACAGACAAATAAACAAAAAATAAAAATGAACTGTAAAAAATGAATCTGATGGCAACGTTAAAATGAACATTAAAGGTTTGACCAATCTCAACTGAATAACCTGATAATCTTCTTTTCCAAAGTCTGCAAAAATAAAGAAATAAATTATAAATGTAGTTTAGAAAAAAGATTTTTCAAACTGCGTTTGATTCACAGATGGGTGACAAATGACAGAGAGACCAAACAAAGAAACCCAACCACCACTAATTAACAGACTAATTACAGTAGGTTGATTGATTTTCTCATCATTTGTCACCCCTGTGAATATGAAGAGAAGAATAAATATCCTTGAAAATACCTATGAAGAACTCGTCTTGAGACTGAGATCCCTGAGAACCCTGAGAACAGTGGGAACCTTGGGAACTCTGGGCAGATCTCGACAGTCTTTGACGGGAAAGCTTCTTTTCCCTGAGAATCCGCTGGAAATTTGCAATTCGCTCTTTGTGACTGGCGTCGGTGGGCTTTCTTTCATCGACCACGTCAAGAAGTTGGTTCTCACTAATTGGACTCAACCAAACCTCATCTGTATTTACAACCAAAATCAATGGACTTTCACAAGGTTTTGGGGTGCAGAGGTCTTTTGTTTGGTCAAGGGTGGACGCGTCCTCCTCCTTGGGTTCACCTTGGTGGTACTGATCCACGGTACAGGACTCAGGTTCTTGTTGAGGTGGTACTTGAAGAGTGACTGGACACTGCACACAGTCCATATAGACTGAAACCTCATTATCTGCCTTCGGACTACACGGGTCAGTGTTCTGTAAAGGACTATTGTCTCTGTCACCACTGTTCTGCTTTTCCTTGGATTCACTAGCTTGCCTGGTAGGAGGCAGTGACGCCTCAGGCTCATCATCAGGGTTGGACACTTCCAACTTTTTCAAAGCTCCCTTCAAGGCTGACCTGAAAGAAAGCACCGCCTTGCTGAACGTGGTTACATCAAAGCCAACATTAGGGGTTGTCGGTATGCCCTTAGAGTCTTGGTTGTCGGAGGATGCCTGCGACTGAGCGTCCTCTCCTTCTGCCTTTGAGATGCCGAGATCTGTCCAGTCATAATCTAAACTCTCAGCAGACCCCAGATCAAGAGTGTGACCAGATGATCCACAGTCGTCACAGTCTGTTAACAGGACAGTGGAGCAACTCAAGCTCCTTGAAGGTCCTCTATCCAGTTCCTTTCCACAGGCATCCACGGGGTGGTAACCTGCGCTGAATGAGTAAGGATAGTGTCCAGTGTAGCTGCAGTCCTGATTGGTTTCCACAGTTTGCAGCCGTGAGGGTCTCAAGTCTGTTATACTAGAAGTACTAGAAGTGGAGTTATGGTGGAGTCCAAAGAGCAGTGAGAGATGCTCGGAGCCGTCAGAAGTCTGATTCGACGTGCTGCTCTGCATGTCCTCTGTGTCCCAAACATGTGGGCAGTTGTTAGCCCCTAGGGCGCTGTTAGCACAGGAACAAATGTCCTCCTCACTCCAGCCTTCCCTTTTACTTCTACTGTCCTTTAAATCTCTTGGAGCCCATGAGTCGGTCTCTGAAAGAAAGCCTGCCTCTGGACAAGTGGAACTCTGACAAGAAGATATGGAGCTGGTGCTGTGGTAGACCTGACCACGCTGGAGCTCCAGGTAGGGGTCAGTGTTTACACTCCCACGGACGTTCACGTCTGACACTTGCTCTTGACTTTTGTAATCTGTTTTCTGGACTCCATCAAGATGCCATTGGTTAGAGTGTCGTACAGATTGGACACCTCCCATATTTTTTGAGCATTCTTGAAAATTGACTGGACTAGCATCTCTACTATATAATGACGTGATGGCATTCTGTCTACCCAGGCTTCCTCGCCTGACACGAGGTGTTTGCGACACTGGACTAGGCTGAGATGAAGTTGAAGCTGAAGCACCAGTATACAGTTCGCCAATTTCACTGAGTACTGCGTCCACACAACAAGAAACCTCGTCCACTGAACCTCGCACCGATGTTAGATACAGCCTCAGGTCAGATATTTCCTCCTGGATCTTATTGATGCCCTTCAGCTCTTTAAGGATGTGTTCCACTATCTTACTGGAGCGTTGTTCGTCATCGTCAGCAACATTGTCTTCAGTTTTGGTCTCTTGTCGTCATGCTCCACTGCAACATTGTCTTCAGTTTTGGTCTCTTCAGTGATGTTGGACGTTGTATCGTCCAATCCCCTAGTTCCCTCCTGACGTATACATTTGCTGGTTTCCTGAGTTGAAGTTCCTTCTTTTCTGAAGTCCACAGATGACTGGTCATTAGGAGACTTGTTCTGTCCAGCCTCTGGACACTTCTGTACCGTTCTCTCCGGGCCTTTCCCAGTTCCCGGGCTTTCTGTCTTCTGCTGTGATGACCCTTCTTTGGGTGAAGAGGCAGCTGGCTCAGATGTACAGGGTTCATTGTGAAGCCTGGGGAACATCCCTATGGGATCCTTACTTATTTGAGTACATTGAATACCACTGCCTGAATTATTCCACCTTTGATAGGTAAAGAGAAAATCAGAAATTTAAACCACATTAGCTGATAAATGAAGAAAAAACAGAGAAAGGAGCACACTTCCACCTGACAACTAAAGATAAGAATTCTCTCTGCTTTTAGAACCATGTGTTGTTGTTTTAACTGAAAAGTTAAGTATTCAGAGGAAAATTAATTTGGTCCATTTTAGATTTTGTTACCTATTATTTACAGACTGAACCTGGTTTTCTAAAGCTAACGTTTGGGCACAAACATTTCATAAAATCCCATTCTTTGAATCCTTAAAAAAAGTGACCTGGAGCGAGGTACCAGGGGCCAATCCGGCTTCTCACAGGGCCCCTGGAGCAAGACAGCGCTGTAGCCTCGATGTTATTATACTTAATAATTAACAACTCACAAACGCATGAGTTAAAAAGTTCAAATCTGCCGTAGTTTCATAGCTTTGTTATAACGAGGCAGTCGGACAGAAACAGGTGGATAACCGTGGTCACCTTGGACCAAATGTTCATTGTATTTTTCCTGACTTCTCAGGGAAGTCTTGGTGTAGGTAACACTGACAAGACAAATAGATGGCTGTATATTTAAAGTGGCTGTGGCTGACACCAGTTTCCTGTACAGTACCACTTGTTACGAACCTCCTCCTAGTGGCAGTGTGAGCCCCGTGCAGCTGCTTAGATCTCTGTAATTAGGATTCTTTGTAACGACAGCACAGTAATTAGACGACATGCGTGTCAATTCTTACTGAGTCCTACAGCTGCACAGCTTGACGACTTTGACCCGTGGCCTACAGCACAGAGAACTCACCGTGGCTTCTCTGTGAAGCTGAAATGAAACAGAAATCTATCGGAGAACGGGATGAGGTTCAATGAACTAAACTGTCTTGATGGACTCTCCATTTGATGTTTGAAAGTGTTTAAAAATAATAAATGATCAATTGCTAAATTTAACCACTTCTGGCCATGCAGTGTGTTGATATGTGTATAAAAATAATACATTATCCATCGCTAAATTTAAACACTTCTGGCCATGCAGTGTGTTGATATTCTCTGGGCTGTTTTTTGAAAATATATTCCTTGCTCAGTTTAGCTACATTTATAAATGTTTATATTTTCCAGTTACTGCTGTATTTGTTTAGACTTTGTTCTGGGAGCTATGATGAACATATATTCTCGTTTGTGGGCAAATTAGATTTCAACTGTAACATTTCTACTTGCTGTTATAACGTGCAATTCTTGGGCTATAACTGCAAAGACTTTTAGTGTGATTGACTTTGTGTTAGAGATATTCTGGCATAGAGTTATGTTTTGGTTTTGTTTCAACTATTACTACGACAATCCTCTGTCTTAATCTGAATGAGGGATGAGTAATTCATGTGGATGAGGTTGATTACGTTTTCTGAATATTAGGTTATTATTTAGTCACATGTTGCTGTTTGTGGACATTTGTGATTATGTGTTAGATAAATACTTCTTTCATACAGTCGTAAGAGTCTGTAGACGTTTCTTTTGTCTTTCATAAAAACCCAAATCGTAAAACAACACAAATACAATGAAAATAAAGACTTAAATTGGTCTTCGTTTATAGAACACATGTAACTTTTATCCAGCTTTAAAATTTACACAACCTCAGTATAAAACACTAAGGACGACAAAAATATAAAGAAATGTTTTCTTACCTTAGAATTACAGGATAATGATCCTGGTATTTGTATTAAAAACAAACCGTAAATATGATCTCCTCCAAGACTCCACACAGACAGTGACTTAATAATTTCAGCAAATGTATCCCATGATGCATTACAAACACGCGTCTCTGTCTAATTTAACCGTCGTCAACCTTCAGCAGAGAGACACGATCTCACAGCAGTTCAACCTCAGTCGAAGCTCCGTCTTCCCTCCCACACTGGTACACTCACAGATGTTTTTCTTAAAGACAGAGGACGAAAATGTACAGTTGTCAGACACTGTTTACACCCAACACCTGCTTCTTCTTCAACTAGTGACTAAAAATCGATCAGCACAGTGGAGAAATGTGACCGCTACAATCAGATAATTATTATGGGGGGGTGCAGCGGGGGGGCAGACTACTTTTAGTCAAGAGGTTCTGATGTTGTAATTGTGAATTAGGGATTATTGGTTTAGTGGTTTGTTAGTGAAGGGTTGCTAGTTCAAATACCAACATGGGTTGTGGTGTTTTAAGAAATGGCATAAAATGATAATAAAATGATCAAAACTAATAAGGTATAAAAGTTATAATTTGTTAAAGTAGAAAATATTACAAATATTAAAAGAAAAAAATAGTTAAATAGTCAAAAGTAACTTTAAAGAAACACCGAAACGTGACCTCAGTTTTTAATTCATCACCAAATACTGAACAGTTTTCTAATATCTTTACTGTATGTTCTAAAACAATCAAAGAGGTTTAACCCAACCTTTTTTAAGGGATAGGAAAACAGATCAGTTAAGAACTAGAGGAAAGGTCATAGGTCCTACCTCCCGGAGCTGAACCCTGACTTTGTTGATGGCCTTCAACCAACGAACTCTGGAAGCTGAAAAAGGTAATGGTGGTCCTTCATCACGGAACCTGGGGGACATGAATGTTAAAGTCAGGAGGTACGAGTGATGAAGACAGTTGAAATGTTTATTAGATCTGCTGTACCTCAGGAGTTTGGTGGATGTTTTCTCTGGTGGGGTTTTATTTTTTAGGCTACTTTCTAGTTCTGGAGACGAGCGAAGAACCTCCTGCTCGTTAACCCCGGGGTGTCCGTTAGTGTGTCCATTGGTGCGTGGCTGCCCACCATTGGTGGACGGGTGAAAACCAGTGCTGTGGTAGGAATGAAAGGACTCCTCCAGCTCCGAGCCTCCAGTGCTCTCCTGACCGGTCTCACTGAGCTGGGAACTGGTCTGGCTCAGGTTCCCTGATGACCCAAAACGACTACTTTCCACTGGACTACAGTTGTAAGAGAGAAGTGAGGAAAAATCATGTTACTGAGAGTATAATTATACATAAAGTACAGTATACTTCTTAATGGGCTAATGTCTCTAAAAACACAGAATGGTTTCTCCCTACATTCACTATTATCCAATATGTTTGTCAACTATATAATATAGAAACCTAAAAACGTATATTGGGGCTAAGGTATCTAGTAGGGATGCACCAAATTTATTATTTAATTATTTATTTAATATTAATTTATGCAATTGCAGTGCCTTGATTTTGAGTTCACATATAAAATAAAAGTTCGCATAATAATTTATTTCGGGTGTTTCGGTTTTCGGCCTTGGTTTCCTCATTTTCGGTTTCGGCGAAGAATTTTAATTTCGGTGCATCACTAGTATCTAGCTAGTCAATTGAAGCATTGTAGAGTACAATATTATATTTCGGGACACGAAACAGAATTCCATCGTCTAATATGATTTACTTTGTAATTTGTAATAAGTTTTATGCACACGTGTAGTTAGACACGTACAGTTTGTCATCCGTGAAAGTCCAAATTACAGACCACTGTTTCAGAAGTATCACTACTGCCGTGACACACGACGGACTGAAGTTCATGTCAAAGAAATGTTTACAACTGTAAATTTGGGTTTGGAATTCTGCGTTAGTAACACTTGTATGGGCGATGCTAGCCTTGGTGTAAGACAAATATAGGAATGAACACAGACAAACACAAACTCACTGAGGCTAAAATGAAAATAAACGGGTGAGGATGGACTGCAGAGCTGGACAGGGATGTACACTGTGTTTTATTTTTCCCAAAATGTCAATGCATCGTAAATGGCAACACCAATACCATTTATGATGCGTTTACTAGCCTTTTTGCATTCAACAGGTCCTTCTCCAACTTGGTGTCCAGCTGCACTCCAGAGGCAGAACCTGCAGAGGGATCTGTTTCCTCTGGGATGAGGGGTGCTGAAGGATCTACATCAGGAGTGGAGATGCAAATCTCAGGTTTTGCTACACCTTTTATGGAACCTACCAATTCAGTCTTTGGGCCATCGGTTGTTGCAACTTTTTGTACAGTACTTGTTTGGCCACTAGTTTTTGGTTGTGAAGTAAGTGAGGTAGCAGTTTGTGGTTTGGGGGACTCTGCCTGCCAGGGAAAACTTATCTTTGCCCCAAACAGTGGAGCGGTGGATGGTTCTTGCTTCCCAGGGTCTGTTTTCCCCTCTTGAAATAGTCCGCCAGAAAAACTCTTTAAACCCGAAAGTAGACCACTTCCTGTTTCTGTAGGCGAGATTGTTGGGACACCTGACTGCACTGATGAAAACAATGATCCAAGGGACTTTCCTGCGTCACTTTGTGCAGATATAAATCCAAACAGAGATTTGGCCTGAGGTGTCTCCGTAGAACTGGGCACTTGATTGACGTGAGGTGATGTTTCTGTTTTTGAGGTATTTAACGGGGCTGGTTGGTCACATTCTTTACCTTCAGGATCTTCTTTTAAGTCCACAGGTTTTTCATGTATCGCTGCTTCATCATTTTTACTTATGATATTACTTGTTAAATCTGAGGATTTATTTGCATCACCAGCGGTTTCTGAAGATGGTGTCTCAACTGCGGCACTTCTACCATTTGTTGTTTCATCAGATTTTGCTTGATTGCCATTTGGTGATGTTGAGTCACATGTTACACCAGTTCCACTGATTGTAGCAGATGAAACTACTGTTGTCGTCCTTGTTTCCTTCTCAACCTGCAGCTGCTCAGTAGTGCTGGCTGTGGTTTTTGGCTCAGCTGGAATTGATTCAGATGTTTTATGTGATTGTCCTACTCCTCCGAACAAAGACCCACCTATGCCACCGAGAATTGATGAAGGACCTTGTGATCCTGCAGTTGGAGCAGGTATTCCGTCAAGTATCCCTCCAAATAAAGTACTACCTGTTTGTCCCGTTCCTGCAGCTCCTCCAAACATTCCACTCAACAATGACCCTCCAGTCTGTGGAGCTGCAGGCTTGGCAGGAGATCCACCTCCAAACATTCCACTGAATACTGAAGCTCCTGTGTTGGGAGCAGTGGACTGAGGAGCAGACTGAGGAGCAGATCCTTTAAATAAACCTCCTAGTAGGGATGAACCTGACTGAGGAGCAGATGCTTGCATGCCAGATCCTCCAAAGAAGCCCCCCAGTACTGATGCTGCGGTCTGACCTGTAGAAGCCGGAGGTGCAGTACCACCAAGTCCAAAGAGGGAGTTTCTGGGCTGTTGCTGAGGACCTTCAGTGGATGGAGATGTAGGTTTGAAAAGAGAAGAAACAAAACCTGTAACTTTTTCTGCTGGTGATTCACCAACTTCTTTATCCAACCCTGGAACATTGTGTTCTTGGACCACAGGACTTGTAGACTCAGTCACTTTTATTTCAGGAGAGAGAGTATCTTGATTTACAAAGGCACTTCCAGGTGTGGATTCTGGAGGTTGATGTGGTATTGAACACATTTCAGATTCTTTGTGATGATTATCTGTAAACAGACTACCTGTCTCATCACAAACACCGTTTTTAACATCTTCATTAACAATGTTACCCGTTTCCCTAAAACCTGCTTCCACAAACTGGACTGTACCATCAGATATCAGAGGAGATTCTCCGTGCTCTTTGCTTAATGAAGGAGTGATAGTTGTAGACACTTCAACACAGGTTGGAGCAGGCACGTTCTCATCAACTAGTTTTGGTAGAGCAGTTGTATTTGAAGTACTGCTGGTAACAGTTGTACTTAAGTTGTTCTTATCATCATCTGATGTGGGTGTAGCTAATGTAGTGGATGTTGCAGGTGGCTTGTCATCATTTGATGTGGGTTTAGCTAATGTAGTGGATGTTGTAGGTGGAACAGAACCTTTTCCAGGCGTCCCACAGGAGTCTGAGGGACTTGGAGAGATGTCACACATTGGTGATGTGCTGGACTGCACAGTAGATGTTCGTAAAGATGACCCACCCATTATACCTCCAGGAACAGGGCCACTGTTTTGGTTTGTTGTAGTTTGGCTGCTACCCTTTCCAAAAATGTCACTGAAGGATGTACTCTGAGATGTTGCAGATGAAGCTGCTAATCCTCCAAATATCCCTCCAAGAACAGACCCTCCAGTCTGGGATCCAACAGCCTGAGTTGTTGATCCTCCAAAAAGACTTCCAAGTAAAGATGCCCCTGCCTGAGGAGCAGAGCCTTCACTCTTATTGGGACTAACCTGAGGTGCAGATCCTCCAAATAAACCTCCTAGGAACGATCCTCCTGTTTGAGACCCAGTAGTTTGGGGTGAAGATCCTAAAAACATTGTACCCAATATAGAATTCCCAGTTTGTGTTGAGGGCTGTGAACCAACAGAACCCCCAAGAGCAGAGAACAAGCCTTTAGTGAGGGGTTCTGAAGATGTACTTCCTGCTGTGTTGGATGCAACACTCTCTTTTGCAGTAGACTCCAAAGTCTGCCCTGAAAAAAATGAGAGTATACCTTTCCCTTGAGGTTGTGTTTCTGATGAATGATCCAGAACTACTGACTCTTTAGGGGCAGACGAACCATGAGATAACATTTCTGGGCTGGTTAACGTTTGAGCTGATACACTATCGGTATGCGTGGTTGCCTTATTATCAACAGGATATGCAATCTGATTGTTACCAGCGTTACTGTTTGGTAAATTACCTGATATCTTACCATCTGTTGCTGATGTCAAATCATTAGTTTTAAAAACACTTGTCAATTGAGAAGAAGCTTGCTGTGCTTGTAATTGTTGCTTTTTGGGATCAGGTACAGCAGCCGAGGACTGAGACATCAGGTCATCATTACAAACAGGAAGGCTACTCTTGGCAGGTTCTTTCGATGCTGTGGTACCTGACATGTAGGACATATTTTGACCTTTAACAGCAGCTGATGTATCAGAAGTCACAGAACCACCAAACATAGAGAACAATGTTTTTCCTGGAGTTTCTGTAGATTTAGGAAAGCTTCCCAACAATCCTCCAAGGACAGAAGTAGCTGTTTGTCCTTGTGCCTGAGGCTGGGATTGAGACTTTGACTGTGTCTGAGCTGACCTGCCGTGTTGGGCTTGTGTTGGAGGTGCTTTTTGTTGTGATGATGGTTTTTGTGGCTGGGACTGTGAAGGTGTTGGTTCAGAGAACACTGAAAAAAGGCTCTTCATTGGGTTTTCAGTGGAACTAGATGATCCAGACAAAATCCCACCTAGAAGAGAACCTGGTGGGCTTGAAGACTGTTGGCTGCTAGAGCCACCAAACATAGAGAGAAACCCTGAGGACTGTGGCTCTTTAGGAGGAACACCCTCCTGTTTAATGGTCTCAGTGGAGGGTTTATTTTGAGGAGATAGCTGTTCATGACTCGATCCCCCTAAAATCGATAACAAGCTTTTACCAAGTGATTCTTGTGGAGGAGGTTGTGGAGCTGCAACTGAAGAAGGCGCCTGTGAAGAAGGCCCACTAAATATGGAGAAGATACTTTTACCCTGTGGTTCCTCGTGCGTAGCTTCTTTTGGTTTTGGTTCTTGATTCTTAGATTCTGTCTGTGCCATTGCTGGTGATCCTCCAATTGAAAACCCAAACAGACTGCCAGATAGTTTAATTCCTGCTTCTTCTCCTGACTGATTTAAACCAGAGCCTGTTGATGATTTAGGAGGAGGTACATGAGATATACCCTTATTTGGCATTTGTTTCTGTGGTTGAGAGGTATCGTTTTGATCCATTGGTTGTTGCCTCTGTATACCTTTAGGTTTAGGTATTGACGTCATTGAACTGTCTGCCACAGTGGGTGTCATTTGTGGTTTCTGTGGCAGGGATGGTTCTGTATTAAAGAGGTTACTAATCGAACTAAACACTCCTGTTACCTCCTTATTGGTTGGAGTGCTGCCTGGTATAGAAGCAGTGCTGCCAGTGTTGCTCTGCCTGTTGGGAGTTGTCTGAGAAGATATTTCTGGTTGTGGCTTGGTTTCCTCTATGCCTACTGCAGATTTTATA